ATAGAGGGGGAGGATCACCTCCTTGAACCTGCTCTAGATGCATCTGTGGATGCATGACAAGGTACGGTTGGCCTTCCTGATTGCTTCCCCACACTGCCGACCCATGTTCATCTTGGAGTCAATGATGACTCCAAGATCCTTTTCTGCCTCTGTACTGACAAGAAGGGAGTTCCCCAACCTGTAGGTATGGTGCCAGTTGTTCCTCCCCAGGTGCATCACTTTGCACTTGTCGGTGTTGAATCCCATCCTGTTCTCATCCACCCACACTTGTAACCTGTCTAGGTCCGACTGTAGCCTATTGCTCCCTTCTAGAGTGCCCACGTCCCCCTACATCTTAGTGTCATCAGCAAATTTGAATAGGGTGCTTTTTACCCCCTCGTCCAAGTCACTGATGAAGATGTTGAACAGTGTGGGCCCAAGGACTGAGCCCTGCGGAACCCCACTGCCCACATCCCTCCATGCTGAGGAGGGATGTGTTCCTGCCAGACAAGTGCCTTTGACTGTTTCATCAGTACTCCTTCTTCCTAGTACCTATCATGCTAACTGGTACGACTTGGATCAGCAGCAGTTTGCTACTCTATGCCATTGTTGAAGGACTGTTTTACAGCTAGGCCAACCTTCCTGATCCTCTTCACCCTGAGAGCTCCCCTTTCCCACAGGGCCATTTGTGCTTAGTCTCTCTGTAGGGATGCATTCCCTAGCAACGTGGGAGTGCTGAATGGCAAATTCTGAGATCCATGGGTCACATAAGGGATGGGGCTTGTAGAGCTCCAGGTGTCTGGAAACTCAGACCCTTCTCTTGGCTCCTAAGAAGGTTTGGACGGAGAGGCTGTCCATGTACTCTCAGAGCAAAGACCCCCTAGCCCCAGCACTGCCTACAGCTCCTGAACCTAGTCCCTTAGCACTGAAAGGACTGCTTCCATGCTTAGAGGTGAAAAGATACTCCTTCAGAGTGGCACTTATGTTGTCTTTGACAAGCTGACAGCATATGCTGCTGAGACATAATCTGTGCAGCAGCTGCTTTGGCCCTGGTTGGGCTCTCCTTCTTACAGCCGTACTCCTAGACTGGTGCTGCTTCTCAGTCTAGTCCTGCCATTCCAGTTGCCAAAGGCTTTGTCATCCTTGTGTTTGTGGAAACAGCTTTGCCCCTTATATAATGTGTTTCAGGGCAGCCATGATGTACTTCCTGGTTCCCCAGGGCTTTGGGGTCTGTATCTCCTGATGAAAGTGAAACAATGGCTCTAGTTGCTTGAGGGACTGTTATTCCTGGGCCAGACTGCATCTGCCTCTTACTCCAGAGTAAGAGTTCTTGTATTCCTTGGACACTGTTGTATATGCACCCCTCTGGTGAAGGAGAAAAAGTTTCCCAAGCCCATTGAGCCCCCTGGCACAATGTCTCAGCATCTCTGCTGGGGAAAGGGCTGAGGTGCCTGCTCCCTCACTGAGGGGCTGCACTAACTGCAGCGTTAACTGGTGGACCTCAGCTGGCTGCAAGAAGCGGTGGTGGTAGACAGTGCAACCCGGGTCAAAAAAGCGGCTGGATGAATTCATGGATGAGAGATCTGTTAGTGGCTACGGAACAGAAGAGGTGGAGGTGTTTCTTCTGGCATCTCTAAACCACCAATGGTGGATACCAAGGTAGTGCTGCATAGGGACCATTCCTGCTCTCCCTAATAGCATCTACCCTGCCCGGGGGCGGACAGGTCCCGAGGCTGACACAACATGGCACTTCTCTCCTGGCTGCAGCCTCAGCTGCTCCTCCTGCGGTGGTGAGCGGGGATCCAGCCTGCCTTACGCGGGGGGCGGTCACTGAAAAGCTGCGATGGGCGCGGGGTGGGGGCTATGGGCAGGGAGGCTGCTCCTGCCGCGCGGGTGTCACCCACCGGCTGCACGGAGCAGCCACGTGTCACGTCTCTGCTGGCGCCTTTCAGAGCGGAAGCAAGCGAGACGTTCAGCGGCCCTTTCCCCGGCGGCGGAGGCATCTCGGCGGCCGCGTCCCGTCCCGAATCGAGTCCCGGCCGCAGGCGGCAGCGTCAATGTCGGGGGCGGCGCATGGTAAGTCGTCCCCTCTCGCGCCCCCGCGAGGGGGACGGGTGGAGGTCGTTGCCAGCGAGAGTCGCCCGCGGTGATTAGGGACTCGGCGGGCGCGGGACAGGTCGCCTGGCCCCAGGGGAGCGATGGGGGCGATGTAATGAGATACAAGTCATGACGGAATGGGGCATGGTCCGTGACGTCATAGGTGATTCATTACCTCATGGGAGGGGGTCGGGCTGGCCCACAGATTCCCCCTCTCCACTTGCCCCCTCCCGATGGATCTCACTGCGCCATGCTTGGAAAGGTGCCTCCAGGGGCCTTTTGGTCCCAGAGGCTGTGAGACCACTGGGTCAGCAGGGCTCCAGCGTCCCTGCTTCACCTGGGGGAAATCTCGGCCTCAGCTTCTTGCGGGCATCCAAATCGCAAAACTGCCAGGCTTGGGGGTGCACCTAGGATGGCTGCCAATGGATTTAGGAGCATCTGGAGCCCCCCCGGTGAGCGGTGGATGGTCACTGGTTGTAGCACCATGGTGTTTAAAACAATTGGATCCTGCCCACGTGATAGGATTTGGAACTGATTTGGCTGATTTGACCTGGAACATAAAATATATTTAAAAAATAAATCCTGGTTTAGGCAGAGCTGAATGAGCTGCCTTAGTAGAAGAGGGGGTGGTGGCTGAATCCAAGCAGCCAGTTCCCATTCTTCCAGATGTCCCAAGCACATTAGGTAAAACAAGTGGGATTTCTTTTTGCAAACCAGCTCAAGCTTGGTACTGCGCTCTGACAAAGGTGCCACAAAAGGTGAATACGTACATTCTTTTGTGAGTAATCTGAATTTGTTACCCTGCACAGGGGAAGGTTGTAGGTCTTAACACCCTTGAAAAGTGAAACCTGAAGTCTGCAGGTTTTGGTGCAACACGTCAGGGTCCCGGGGTGGCTGTGACACCCCCTGGTGGCTCTGGGACCATGCCCATCTCTGCCCCTAGGGCACCTTCCTGTCTCATCTGCCATTCTCCGATGGCATTTATAATATATAGGAATGCTGCCTACAGGCCTTTGCTGGGCCTCTGTCCCACTGGACCCCGCTAGTGTCTGTCTGCAGCCAGGCCCCTCATTAGGCTTCACTGGTCCTTAAAATGAAGTCCAGTGAAGGGCCTAACCCATTGTGACCGGCAGGGCACCCAAAGCCTTAAGGGCTAGTTGCATGGCTCCAAATCCTCCCCTTTACCACGCCCTATGCCTTGCAGGCATTATGGTAATTTTGTTCCCTGCGTGGGGCTTTGGCCTTCTCCCCCATAACCTAGTTAGGCCTTCTAGCCTGGGCCCACTGAATTGGACCTGGCTTTGAGGCCCTAGGTCTAACTTGTCCCTTTAATCACCAGGCCCCTGCGTGGCTCCACCCTCTCTCTGCCCACTCTGGGTTCAATAAGTGCTCAAGCCCTGAGCCTGCCCCCAACACGGCTTAAGGCATTCAAGTGCCCCCTGGTCACTAATAAGGTCTCTGTACCCCACCGTCCAGCCTTATCCCAAATGACCGGTACAAACAACAACATAACTTAAGCCCCTGGGCTATAACATGATAATAGCCAAGTAGCAGCCCTCTGTCCCTTTAAGAATGCAAACCTTTACCCCTAATATAGGGTATCACACAAGTTCTCTGAGCCTCCCTGTTCCTGTAGGCAGCAGAACAGTAAGCTCAGCATCCTTGGGTAGCTCCATTGGGCAGGTGCTCCTTCTCTTGTGGCAGCCAAGGAGAGACTCCCCTGCCAGCCCCAGCCTTATATGCTTCCAGGGCCCTGCCTACTTCCTGGCAGCTGACCATCATCAGGTGCCTGCTGACTGCTTCTTTTTACCCTGGCAACTGGGAGCTGCTGCTCCCTCCCTACCCTGTAGTGTTCCCTGGCTGGGCTATCTTTATTTTCAAGTAACAGAGAGCCTAGGACTCTTTGTTACACTTGGCTTTTCTATATTTGAGGTTATTAAAAACTTATGCTCTTGAAAGATAACATACTCAAACCTTGGAGAGATGTCTGCAATGTTAATCTCACCTGAAAAGAATTTTTTGTGTTGATTTTTTTTTTTTTGTTTCCTTCTGGACAAATACGGAGTGTTTATGGAAAATACAACTTAAGAATAGGATGGCCTCAATCAGAATTTAATGCCTGCTGTGTCCAGGGGTAAGACCCAAAAATGGTGAGACACACAAGGGCAACTGAATCGTATACCGTTGGCAGATTTTTGTTATTACTATACATGTAAAATAGTCACATTGTAGAATTTTCCTGATTGAGAGGAATGTGTCCCCTGCAGAAAGGGGCAGAGGGGACAGGACAATTACTTGAGAAATAGGTCAGGTTTTTGATTCCAAAAGGAATCTTTTCTAAAATCAGAATATTTCTTTTACCCTTATCTGTCTTCTTTTAGATAACAAACTGGTAGTGTTTGCTTAAATACCTCACTGAAAAAATGAAGTTCATCTTGCTGGAAAAGGGCTCCACTGATTTACTGAGGCAAATTATTTTTACTGCACTGGGTTAAGAGAAAATTGGAAGTCTGCTTTGGAAAAAGAAGATCAAGGATATAGGTTGAGTACTCCTTAGGGAGGAACTCTAGGTGCAGCTAACACTGGGAGGTTTGAAGTAGTCATTGTTTTTTTTTTTCTTTGCAAATGATGCTAAAAATAGGTTAAGTTTTGATTTCATATATGTATGATGTATTTTTAGAGCAGGATGGGAAAAGCATCTTTCTTACTTTTTTCTATGCTCATATCCATCTTCTTTTTCTGAATGTCATCTTTCATCCTTGTTATGCATATTTCTCTACCATACACCTATTACCTCTCTTTCTCTTTCCTTTGCTACCCAAACCAGCTGGAATCTCTTTAGTTCCTACTCTTTATGTTTATTTTTAATTATTTTGAATCATTGGCATTATGACAGTAAAAAGTTATTTCAAACCTTTTTCATATATGCTATATTTATGGTATTCTCAATATTATATTGACATAGGAGCTTGGAGTGAAAATATATTGGATTATTTTCTGAACACAAACCAAATTAAAACGCGAGATGGAGCTGAAATCATCTGGTATCATGCAGCAAACAGTAAATCACAAATGAAAGAAGCAATAAAAAGTAAGTAATGTATATACATATTGTAAATTGGATCTATCAGTAGCATGATTTCCCACAAATAAAATCCTTTCACACTTCTTTAGGCATAATATGGAGCATTGCATTGTCAAATAAGGTTAAAACACAAGTAAATTATCTTCTGAGTTGCTTGGAAGGGTGGACTCTGTTGGGCTCTTTGGAGTGAAAATCCTTATTTGTTTTCTTAAGTGAGTTTTTTTTGTGTTTATCCATGCCAAGAAGCACACTTGCCAAATGTTGGTGATTAGACTGTTACCAATTGCATTGCTCTGCAAACCACATTGTAAAACTGTTTGTGTGTAAGCGTTGTTCTTGAAGTTTTGTAAGATATGAATGTGTGTAGCAAACAAGTGAAATCCAGTGACACATTTGTGCTGTTCCTTGTATAGTTACAAAAATGTGTCTGTCCAAAGAAAGATCTATGAAAACTAAGTATTTTTGTGGCTATAGGAGCAATTTTTCAGTTTTAATATTGGATCTGTTTCTGTTTCATTTGATATCTGCCAACAATGAAAAGCAATTACTGAAGAATTTTGATTTTGCACATTAAGCATGCCTGGGCCATTCTTGTGATAGATACAGATAAATATGTCATACCCATCAAAACATTGGAGAATGCAGAAACACTTTGCCAACTATTTTCTTCTTTATTCTGAAGTGGCAAGAGTGATACTGGTAGTCTGCTGCAGCCAATTGGGATATTTGTGAACTATGGAGTGAGTTACATTGCAAAATGGTTGGCTTAATTTTCCTAAAACAATTTAAGGTTCTAAAGATTTTTGCTTTTACATGACCTGATCATTTTTTATCAACTGGTTTTTAAAATAAGGTCTGAAATAATGTAACATGAATATATTGTATAATCTTTCTTATACTCTTGTGGTGGTGTTTTGGGGTTTTTTTTTGCCATTCGTGGTGCTGTAATTGCCCTTTTTCCATCCAGTGGACTTTAGTCTGACTTGTATAAAACTTGAAAAATGTATTTCATTCCTTCT